CACGAGACTAGACAAGGACATAAGCAGGGAAGATAAGGGAGAGGAGAAAAAGTGCGTCCGCCTCCTCCGAGAGCCAAAGAAGAAGCACATTATGTCTCATATCAATCAATCAATCATTCAATTTGTACATCAGCCATAAACTGCTGATGTATTGAAAAGGTTACCAGATAGTTAGACGACCATTTTTGCACTCGGGTTTTGCATTTTGGCTGTTTTTGAAATCATTTGTAATTACATTTGGATGTGAGGATGGTTTAGGTCAGTGAAATAATGCATCGTGCACTACTGTGAAATTAATTTGTCTACTGAGCACAGCCCTGAAACAAAGTGTATAATGTGCTCACTCCTTGAAGTATCTTTTAGAACTAAACAAGCGAGAGGCGGGTGTGACTGAGAACCAGAGGGCCTGTGGTGCCTGCTGTTCCCACATGGTAGGAGCTTGAGCACCTATTTTCTGAAGCAGCGGTGTCAAACCCAGCTTACAGTGGAGAAAAAATTCTGTAATCTCATTGTTCAGACTGTCTTGTAATTATAAACCAGAAAGCTTTTGTTAATTTACAATTTTGTTTTCTTTCCTGAATATCTGACGCTCATGCTCTGAATCACAACCTGCTTTATCAGCTATTTTACCCTACACAGGAACATAATTTATAAAAATTAATTATTAATTGAAAAAAGTAAAACAAGCATAAAAAAGGTATTTTTTCTTTATAATATGATTTCTTCGCGCAACCACAGGAGTCGCCCCCTGCTGGTTATTAGAGGTATTAAGGGTTAGGGCACATATACACTGGCTCCACTTTTTCTTTTCCTAGAGCTTTTATACTGTCTGCAGTCTAAATCAGTTTAATAATACAAAGCATAGATTTTTTTTTAGAACTTGTTTCCCAAAATGCTTAAAAATTCCTTTAAATTAGTGCTGTTTCCGTCCCCACTGGGAGCCTTTTTCCTATCAACACAGGATCCAAAACTACAAAACTTGTTTTTGTAATCACTGACAGGCTGGATGGAAGTCATGAACCGCAATCCAACAGTTCTAAAGAAATTCAGTCTGGAAGTACAAAATGGCAAACGGCCATAAATGGAGTTGCTGAGAAGAGCTGACTCCAGAGCTGAACCAAACAAGCTACAGCACATTAGTGAGCCGTCACTACGACTCTCATGTTTGAATAAACTGTTTACAATTTTACTGCCTCGAACGTCTGACCTCTGAGACTCACAAATACACTCAAGTGATTAGAAGGAATTCATCTACCCTCGCCCAGCTCAGGCAGAGGTTTAGGATTCGTTCACTTACGTCTTTGCTGTCCCGACAGTCTCCGCAGATGCATCCCAAACAGCCGTTGATCGCCTGGAGGCCGCAGAGCACAATCTGCAGCAAGCCCATGGCCAGCAGGATAGAGAACAGAACGATGTTCCACAGCACTATGTTTTTAGGGTGCACACATGTAGTCCACATATCCTGGTTTACAAGGTAGCTCCCATTGCCCCTGTGAAGGAGAGGAGCAGTGGAGCATAAGCAGTGACCAGAGCTCGTACTAACAGCATTAATGAAAATATGGATGGGGATGGGGAAGTGAAGAAAAAGCGGTGATGGTGGAAGAGAAGGAGAAAAAAGTGTGAGGTGGAGAAAGAAAGCGAGTTGCAATCAAAAACTTTTCAACCTTACTTATTTACATAAATATTAAACTAATACTTCTGAGAAATAATATATATTTTCTTTCTTGCTGATATGCTCTCACATCCCCTTAAATCAACACAAAGTCTGGAAACAGGTTAATCCAGTCCAGACAAGAAAAAACAAGTCTATGCCGCAGCTCAAAATCTCACGAACATCTTGTTTGTTTGAAAAATCGAAGATTAGATATGATATAATTTGATATTTTAGAACATTATTTCATTATTGCTACAATCATGTGAAAAGAAAAATTTCACAGGGCCTAATAGGACCTGGCTGGATCAACAAATGCAAGCTGCTCAGGTCCAGTGACTGCAAAAGAAGCCAAAACCATCACCCCACCACTGCCGTGCCGACAGCTGGTATGAAGTGTTTCTGTTTATACGCTGCGTTTGGTTTTTACCAAATGCAGCACTGTGCATTAAGTCCAGACATCGCAAATTTGGTCTCATCTGTCTGAAGGACATTGTTCCAGAAGTCTTGTGGCTCATTAAAATGCAGCTTTGCAACCCTAAGTAATGCTGGGACGCTCTTTTTACAGGAAGAGGCTTTGAGCTTAGGTTTTTCACAGGACTGCGTTTTGTTACAGGCTCAACAGCGAGGGTTAAAAAAAATAATTAGCCAATACAGATTACCAAGAACAGCAGTAAACAGCTGTTCAGTAAACTGAAAATGAGTCACAATGTCCAACTTGCACAGTCTGAACATCCAAAAGTAAGGTTATGTCCCTGATTTCTCTCTTTGTGACAGCAGCTCATGGGTCAAATTTATATTAGTTAAAGTTTTTCATTGATCAACATCCTGCAGTATCTTTTCTTGAAATTCCCTTTCACATTAAACACTATCACTGCAGGACAGTGCTTGATCAGCGTTTACTCTGCAGGCAGTAAATATTTATATGTGACATCTTCAAACTTTATTTAAAGGCTGTTGAAGGTTAAAGCTTTCCTTTCCTCTAAACGGCATCACAGAAGTACAGAGTACATTACAAAACAACGAAGTAAACCAAAACACATGCGTGAATGAATCATTTCCCTTTTTGCAATCTAGAATTCTGAAAAATTTGTTTCCTCAATTCGATATCTTATCGCAGCCTATTCATAGTGACACAGACAGCAAACACAAAGGCATCTTTCCCAGCCTCCTTCCTTGCAGCAGATATAGAGCATGTCTTATTATCTGAGAGAATCACTTCTTGTTTTTCATATCATCCTTTCAGCACCATTAGAAATATTAAATAGCAAAATAGTTTGGGCTAAAAATCGACAGTTGACAGAACAGAAACGAGAAAGAGGAACTTAAAGTTTTCTGGAGGAAGGACAAGCCCAGGTCACATGTTAATAACCCAACATGTATTGTGTAATCAGACTTGTTTTTCTTAGTTTGCCCTTTAAACTGCTGTCATAACAGACAAGCCTGAATATTAACAACAAGCTCATATTTATTAACAGTTGTCCCAATTGCATGATGGGCCTTTATCACCTGCTTGTAAAATGACTCAGTGGTGACGATCACTTTGGGTGGATGCTTATGTAACCCTTTTAATTCCATCTGAGTATCGATTAATATTGCAAATGTTTAAAAAGGTCAAGAAACACGTGATGGAACATACTGGCTCGCTGTGCCACCTACTGGACTTTAAGAGTATTGCAGGATAGGGGTGAAAGGGGAAGGTGACGTAGAGAAGGTGGCACTGATAAAAAGACAGGAAGCTGAGCTGTACATTGGAGGGATAGTGGATATACTGCACAAAGGAAGATGAAGATGCAGTCATCAGGCAGGAGGAAAAGAGGAAGACCTCGAAGGAGGTTCATGGATGTTGTATAGGAGGACATGTTAGAGGGTTGGTGTGACAGAGGGGGATGTTATGGATAGGGTGATACTCTGTGCCAAAATCTAACAAAACCAGCCAAAGGAAGAAAAATAATACAGTAATGATTATATATTTTGGTGCTTCTCAAAGAAAGCTAAAGCAGTTAAATATAACTTAAGAGAAAAGAAGAATAACTGAAAAAGGAAATGTATATATTTTATCTGCCTCAAGGGTATCAGTCAAGACTATAATTACTGGCTCAATCTGCTGTTTCAGTGCTTATCAAAAAGTACATTTAAAAATATAATGATGAAGGTGGGACACTCACGTGCCCGTCTCTTTAAAGGGGTACTCCCATTTGCCACTTTCCACCTGGCACTTGGGTCCAACAGCCAACCCAGCTGAGGCGACACTGGTGCAGTAAATCCCACCAAGAACGCCGACGGCGGAGGATATGACAGAGTTCAACATCTAAAAGAAAGATGAGAACATTTAGGTGTTTTTTCACTCATGCAAGAGATTATGAATTATTGTAACTGTACAAGTATGTTTGTTCTTTAGAGAGATTTTTTTAGGTGATCTCTTTGCTGTCATTCATCATTTCTTTCTTTCTTTCTTTCTTCTTTCTTTTTTTCATTTTTCTGGGACAAGTTCATGTTAATTTTACTCAAACTTAATGTGGAAAACAAATGGAAGGAGCCATGAATCACTGTAGGAGACACAGAAGTTTTATGAAGCATACAATATACATATATACAGGGAGTGCAGAATTATTAGGCAAGTTGTATTTTTGAGGAATAATTTTATTATTGAACAACAACCATGTTCTCAATGAACCCAAAAAACTCATTAATATCAAAGCTGAATGTTTTTGGAAGTAGTTTTT